TTTCTCTTCCCAACAGTCGAATCCCACCCTACCAGCTGCACGTCACAGCTGACCTCCAGTCAGGACCTATCTGAGTCAACGTCAGACAGCTAAGCCGTACAACAGCAGCTTCTCCCCCTTGTACATATGCAACTTCTCGCCTGGCAGGTGACTCCAAGGCTGGGGAGCAGAGCAAGCGAGCCCCCTATCTTACAGCCACGCAGATGGGCACTAGCATTCAGCTTGGCCGCAGAATCCAGAAAGGCTTCCATTGCAGTCCCTCTAGAGATCTCAATACAGCCCCTTACCAAATGGACAGAGGCAGATTCCTTTCCCCTTCTTTAATCTGAGAAGCTCTGACCTTTAAAGTACACATCTCTTCCCACAGGAACGGGATGCCTGAAGAGGAAAGAGACAGTAACACATGAAATACCTAGAAGTGATTAAATCGGATTGACGAGGAAGTCAGGAAAGATAACAACCATGGGATTATGCTGTCAATTCCAAAAAACTGCAGTGACTGTCATAGCAGCACATCCAACAGATAGAGAGTGGCTGAGGTGCCAGTAAGTCATCATCAATGGCATAGCACAGTTCTACTTTCAAAAGTGCCTATGTTGGAAAAAAAAAAGAAGAATAAAACCCAAGAAGTGTTCCCCTGTTACTCAGCAGGTCTATTCCCTCCTGGGTATCAGTCAGAGTTGCTGACTTCAGTGAAGAAAAAAAAATAATAAAAGAAATATATATATATAAAAATTATTCCAGCTTTTTTCATCCCGCTAACGCTACACAGCTGCACACCAAGACAGACAGACACTGTCTATTAGGATCCTGGCAATGTCACCACTATGAAAGAATGAGCTGGTGTCTCTTCTGATTCATACATAATCAATAGACTTGTTAAACTGAAATTAGAAGGTCAGATCCTTCCTTGCAGCCACTCTTGTGCTTTCTCATTGAAAACAATAGGTTTGTGCAAGTGCCAATGGAGGCAGAACTTCGAAAAAATGGGTGCCAGTGAAGGCAGCATATGGCTTACTAAATCTTTACAGCTGCTAGAAACACAGGCAACAGAGAGAAACTACATTGGCTTTGAGAGTGCCACTTTAAAATAGCATGAAATAGCAGTTCAATAAAGTAAAACATATGAACATTTGACATGGCACCAAACTGAGATGAACAAAAGGAGCGCCCAGTTGAGGCCACATGTTGGTTATTCATTATTTAGAGTAGATTACTTTCGCTCCCACGATAAGCAGAAGAAATTACCCCCAGCAGTACCAGAGGCAATTGCCTTTATTGCAGCTGTTATCATAATGAACAATATTGCACATCTCCCCTGCACTTTGCTATGGCTCACCACAGTTATGAAGGGAATAAAACTAAGGTCATCTTTATATACAATTATATATTCAACGCTTTGCCTTTTCCATTGCCAGTTGTTGAGTTTTCCCTCTCGTGTAAGAGATGAATGAGCATCCACGAGGCAGGAATGCTGCATTTGTAAATGTCAAATATATTACAAGAACCTAGAGTAAAATAGTCAGTAAAGCTGTTGGATGTCTTGTCTCATTCTAATTTTAAGAAAACAGTGTCCCTCCACCTGCAGACTCACTGTCAGCCATTGTTTTTATTTACAAGGAATTGGGTGCAGCAGAAAACATTACCAGTGTATGGGGAGCTGGGCATACAGCCAAGAAGAAAAGGAGCAGAAGCCTCTACCTTCACGTTGCCTATCCCATCCATATCAAAGCGACTGGTCAATATTTAAGAGTGGTTCAGCCTAGTAGCTTATAAACTAGATTTCTGCACAGTTGCCTGTGAAAGACTATCCCTACCCTTACAGAACCATAGAATCATAGAACAGTTAGGGTTGGAAAGGACCTTAAGATCATTGAGTTCCAACCCCCCTGCCATGGGCAAGGACACCTCCCACTAAACCATGCCACTCAAGGCTCTATCCAACCCAGCCTTGAACACTGCCAGGGATGGAGCATTCACAACTTCCCTGGGCAACCTATTCCAGTGCCTCACCGCCCTAACAGAAAAGAATTTCTTCCTTATATCCAGTCTAAACTTCCCCTGTTTAAGTTTGAACCCGTTACCCCTTGTCCTGTCACTACAGTCCCTACTGAAGAGTCCCTCCCCAGCACCCCTATAGGTCCCCCCCGTCCTTTCAGAGAAGCAACTGCAAATAGCAGGAAATTGGATCTCTCAAGTAGAAATCTACAGATTATTTTTTTTCCTTGATTTAAAAGATGCTGATTACCACAGATCACCTGAGCAAGCACCCCAAGGGGCAGGGTAAAGGAAGGCTGGTCCATCACTACCCAGTTACAACTCCTCTGCAAAGAAAACTGCAAATCAGGCAGCATTTTCCACAACTTAAAAAAGAAAGCACCATCTAGGAATCCAGAGGTTTCAGTCTGAATCTCACATAAGCCAAAGTCAAGGTTGCTTTAACAAAAGGGGTAGAATCTGGTATAAAAGGCTAACACTGGACAAGAACAAACAACGACATTGCACTGGAGATAACAGGCAAGAGTCAATCTCCATCAATAGGCTAGTCAAAGACAGCTAATTTCTATCCTTGGCTAGAAGGCAAATAGTAAACTAAAGGCAAAAGACCTATCACAAAGGCACCTGGTGCAAAACCTGACAGAAAAATAATATTGACAAAGATCCTCCAAATAATCAGACTTTGCTGGCAAAATACATTCACTGCAGATAGTCCCAAAGACAAAATTTGCATGCCAAAAAAGACCATAGAGAATTAGCACTACACAAGATGGATGCGAAGCAAAACAATGAAATCACATGTAAGTAATCCAAAAGTAATGCTATCTATGATTCCTAGCCTCAAGTACTTAATATTTAAGCATTTACATACTCCACACAGAGATACAGAAATCCCAGGAAGAAGGGTGAGGTCACAGTGAAACTGGGAGTTGATATCAGCACGCAGGAGATGTAAAATGGGATAAACATGGTCTTGATTTATCTCTGGAAAAGAGTGGAGCTTCACTGCTCTCTCAGTAAGAAGATCGAGGTATGCTGCACACGGGTTACCACTGAAGATTTGTTCCTTTCCTGGGCAGGGACAGAGTGCTGCACGTATAAGCACTTGGCTGGAGGCGGTCAGACCGGACTCCAGTTGCAACTGGAGAGATCCTTTGCTGAGTCATTACTGCCTGGTGACTTGAGTGAGACATCAAAGAAGGCAACACTGAGAACATGAACAGGCCTTCCCCAGGAGCTTCTTTAAATCTACATTTTATGTCCATTCTGAAGCCTAAAATGGGCACCCTTTTTATTGTGTGCTCTTCAACACCTGAGATTCACTAATGGTAGCCACTCATCACTCATGCTAGCCACTCATCACTCATGGATTCACAATAGCCAGTCAACTATGAGCTAGATATCTGTTTCTTTGAAAGCACAATTACCAAGTCTATATGAATTGCTGTGCTGACTGCACATAAACTGGGTAAGCTTCTAAACACAGCCATTCGCAATCCAGATATTTCAAATTCCTCCTTCCCTATGACAGAACGCTTCAGTCACAGGGAGGCAGGGTGCCTCAATCATCTCCACTATAGGAAAGCAGCCATCTATGGTCCATATCACAGCTGTCCCCAGATAGCATCCCACAGAAATGATTTGGGGCAGGTAGTTTGCAACTTCCAGGGGAACACAGACAGAACATCACTGGCCACTGGGAACTCAGCAGATCTGACCTTCTGAATACAGTGAACCTTTAGTGGCAATAAAACAGTCCAGATAATGAGTTTGTGCCTTGTTCTAAAATCCATCAAAGCCACAAGTCCAGCATTCCTCACTTCCAAGCCTTCCTGATGCTGCTCAACTATGACCCAGACAAAAGGCGTTTGTCCAATACCAACAATGAAGACAGACCGTCCATATCGCAATGCCCAGACTCAACCTCGTTTTGGCACTTGATGTTGGGAAATCAAAAGCTCAATAAAAGCAAGCCTGGAAACTCACTTTATACTCTAGTCCTCATCTTGCATATTCCCATCTCCAACATTTATGTATGGCTTACAGAGAAGCATGTGCTTCCAGCAGTTATACAGAAGCTGTTGGATTGTACTACTCAGTTGCCTGAAAGAAGAAAAAGAAATCTCCTCTGTTGGCCTATTAATCTGTCATAATGAGATTCTTCATAATTCATTTGTCCCTAACAGTTGCTTTGCAGTGGTAGCGAGAGAATATTTCAGGAATGGCAATTACCTCTGGTGTCAAAATGATGAGGGAAAAAAATGTTGAACCACCAACAAAATCCAGTGCCTTCTCCACTCCCACCTGATGGTGGGTGACAGCACTGCACATTGGAATTACAGTGCGGTTAATTACTAAACATGTGGCAATTGAAAATTCATTTCCCCTCTTGACATGAAATTTGATGAACAATGCAGGTGGAAGGAGGGGCGCCTGCCACTGGGATGGGAGTAGCGTGGGGAAGTGATCTTATCTATATGTTGCTGCTTCTTTTATTTACTTTAATTACACATATGTACAACAATTGTAAACAGTGGACACTAAAGGAACTTTCCTTCATTAGCTACACATACATCCCACCATTTTGCAAAAAGACAGAGCTTCACTTTTTGGTTGTTGCTTCACTTGAATTCAGTATCTTTCAAATAAAAATCACATCTGCATTGTTTCAATACTAATATGAAATATGAAGAGTTTCTAGCCTGCTTCTAAACAGGTAAGTTCCTTGGGCTGAGAGCTCACTGGATTTCAGAACCTGACACCTGACTTTCTGGAGTGAGATTTCCAGGAATTTAAGCAATATGCAAGGTGTGGAGCTTTTCTCTCCAGTCAACAACAAAGTTCTGTCAGAGCTGGGAATCTTACTCCAGAAAGGGACTGTGAAGGGGAAACCTGCTGGCTCTACTGCCACTGACACAGGTGTGGAAACCCACAGACTGGGAGAGTGTTCCTGTCTGGTGTTGGCATTGAATCCACCCAATACCTGATTCAGGCCTGGTGCATGTGAGTGACAGGATAGAAATAGTTAACAGAATAGATCCAAGCATTATCGCCCTGGTCCAACTTAAGCCCTGGGAACAGTGAAGAAAACACCAGGTGCTATTCCCCGGTCAGGCTTAAGCCTTGGGAATGGTGAAGAAAACACCAGGTGTTAATGTCCTGGTCCCACCTAAGCCTTGGGAACTGTAAAAAGAGCAATGAAGGGTAAAGATCAGTTAGCAAAACAAAGCAGAGGGTTTGTAAGATAAAGCAGGATGTGCATGTCAAAGACAGACCAAACAATGTGAATATTTGTAACCCTTAGCAGTTTTGCTAAATCGGGATGATAAGGAAGCAAGAGAGTGGAAAGTTACTGCTTAGCGCTTAGTAGACTATAAAAGGGGTGTGAGATGCGAAAGAAAGGTCTTTAGATTTCACCAGAACTGGTGTCTGTCTTTGATATGCCACAGGTGATAAATGAACAGAGAGGTCAGCTGTGCAGGGTTCGTGTGGGAAGCTATGGGGATATACCCACGGGGTGAATACAGGAAGCTGCCTCTGCCTGCATCTTGCTCAATCCTCAACCTCATTACCAAGCACTTGCTATCCTAAAACCAAAACAGGTTTGAAAGAATCAAACATCACTCTCATTCCTGGTAGAGACTCAGTCCCTAGCCTGATCTATGGGGACAATAAATCAAGAAAAGTTGCAGTGGATCTAACCCAGCCAGTCAGGGAGGCAAGAGCTGGTATGCTTCATATGCATTAGGTTGCAAACTTCTTGTCTTTAAGCACACAGCCCTGTACAACCATCAACGCAAGGAAAGCATGGTTCCAGCTAACAACCTTGCTGGTTTTCACTCCACATTGCTCAGGAGCAGTGGTTTCATTGTAACAATGTTCCCCAGTGTAACAATGATCACCACTCTGTATATTGGCAACAAGTAACTCCCAATTCAGACTGCCACAGCAAAACCTCAGCTAACCGAAACACAAGCAGGGAAGCTGCTCTGCAGAGGATGAGAGGAGAGCAGAACAGGCAAATACCAGGACACTGCAGAGGTGAAATAGCTCCTACTGTGCTCTGGAAATGCCCAGCTCTGCTGCCTGACTGTGAACGCAAAGGGACCGAGGGAGGCAAGCGTATCTTCCCTTAACTTCTCTTCATACAACAGACCTAGGACAAACAAATGGGAGTGCAAACCCTACTGCCCTTCATCAATCCTGCAAAAAACAACTCGTGTGAAGAGCAACCCTACACTAACAAACTGGCTGCACAATTACAGAGTGCAGAGGCTCTCCAAAAAAGTACATTTTGAAACAGAGACTGCACGGGCAGTAAAGACATTTTAGAAGCTGGTTTGTTTGTTTGTGGGTTTTTGGTTGTTTTTTTTTAAGCAATTCTGCTAGTGACCTCTGCAGTGAATTTACTTCTAAATTCAGCAACACTGGCAAGATAGTAAATGGATCCAGACTTAGAAGAAGGCATTTCACAAAGCACTGTGCATGTGTGTATATGTGCAGGCTCACATGCAGATATTGATTGTTAAAGTAGAACTAGGAAGAGAGCAGAGGCTGTATGAAGATGACCCCTGTCACTATGTTTATCTGCTCCCTGTGGGCCCCTTCCAAGTCACATCAGTTCAGTACAATGACAAAAACAAGTTGTTACTGGTGTCAGACCTGCCAAGATGATGCTGCTGCAGAGGAAGGAGCAGCAAGCTGCTCTGAGTGGTGCATCATCAGCACAATTTGCATCCACTGAGACAGAACACTCAAGACAAAAGAGACAAGTGAAAGAAAGAATAAAACAAAAAAGAAAAAAACAAAAAAGAAACCCTAAACCAGTTGTACAGAACCAAAAGCAAGCTTAACTAGGCCAGCAGTGAATGTGATTACCATCTCAGATTCACTCCTCCAAAGCCATCATTGAACCTTTGTTTCAGAAGTGGCTACTTCAACAGAAGCACTCACACCTGAACACAGTCACATGTCTACAGGCTTGTCCAGATGTGAAAAACATGCAGATATGTGCTCACATCAGCAGATGTCTAGGCAGAGCACCCGAACACCTTAGTAAATGAAGCGAGGGGTAACTTCCAAACCTGGCACTGAACTTTATGTGTTGTTTTGTTCCTAGACTACACCAGCAACTGCTCGAACTCAACTTCCTTTTTTCCTTATCCCCAGGGCTTCCTCAGCCTGGCAGAGTCCTGCTTGGTCCTGAGACACCAAATGGAGGAAGACAGCAGAGCTCCTTTCAGAGATACCTTTTCTTAAGTATGTAAACAGGGTGGCCCCAAACAGGTAAAAGTGTGTGCGTGGAACCCACTAAGATGCCTTCAACATTACTTCAACAAGTCCAGAAAAGTGTTTGCAAGCCACCACCCACCACAGCAGTTCTCTCAAAACTGACTTAACAGATTAAATGAAGACACTGGCTTGACAGGTAAGATGATTGTGTATTATCTTCCAGCACATTCTTTTATGAGATCCACTCTGGGGAGAATGTGATAAGGTCACTGGTTTAGCAGAGCAAATCTACAGTATTCAGTCCTGCTCCCAAATTCCAACCTGACTTGGTATATGAAATAGCCTCTGCATGCCATTTTAGTCTTTTCATTCCTGATTTTACATCTCCATACCCCCTAATCTGGAGGTGTTTAAGCTGGTGTTTGATTCCAAGCTTACCACAGTAACCTTACAAAGGGGAACGGAATCCACAATATGGGTTTTATTAACGATTCAAAGGACAAACAAAACATTTGAGATGCCCAGTTTGCCATTGCAAGTTCTGAGTGTCTCTATTCCCAAACAAATATTTTAGGTATCTATTTTTTCTAGTCTCAGATAAGATTCTTCCAATTCTCAAGCCAGCTGTTTTCCTATTCTTAAAATACTTAAAGCACCAGCTACCTGACAGCTCTGCTAAGTTTACAGATGGCCTCCAACAACCAAGTCATATAAACTGGCCAGTAGGTAAAGGCTTCAGTCCTTCATGAAGAAAACATCCCTAATTAGGGCCGGATCCAAAGTCAATGGGACCAGTCTTAAGTCACTTACAGTGGCATCCTAAGAAATTCCCACTTTTTGTTTCCTTCCCTCTTTACATAGACCTTCAACCCCCTGAGAAATCCTATGTTCAAATCTATTTGTACCACTCATATCTAGGGTGAAAATCTCAACCATGAGTCCTTCAGAGAAGATACCATCTCTTGCCACATCTCTGGACTTTGCAAAGCTAGTGTTCATTTCACATTGGGATTCAAGGCATAGCCCAAACACCAAATAAACCAAGATTATTTCTTCATTTTCCATCTGCCTTTTTTTATAGTACTCCTCATGGTGCAGGTTCCTTGCAGCCTACAAGGGCTTCCTAATGGTTTCCTTACTGTACTGGTTGAGATGATCAGATACTCCTCTGGTTATTATGTACCTCATCAGCAGCTATAAAGACAAAGTAACAAGGTCTTCAGGATTCAAATAAAAAGAGATAGCCCCACCTGGAGGAGAGAAGGCTAAATGTTCCCAAGGCACACAGATTCACTCCTGCTGGGAGATACAAGAAAGATGCAAGACCATTTCGGCAAGTGGTGTGCCTGACACACTCACGCTCCTGGAGCGAAGCACTTTAGGGATGAGGGCACGCAGCCAGGAAAAAATAAGTGCAATAAATGAGACATTGCTTCTTTCCCCTCACTTCTCTCCTTCCTCCAAAAATACCACCATGAGATGGCCCATTTCTCTGAATAAACCACTGCATTTGACTAAAGAACCTTCTTGTTTCATAGGCACACATCCCCCTAAAAAATGGACCTTCCTAAGCTATAAAATTAAAACCTGCTGTGGCCAGAATGTTCAGCTGACACCACTCTAGAGAGCAGAAGGAGGAAAAGGAAGTGTCTTATAATTATAAGATTTATTTTACAGCTTGTTTTCAGTGCAAAGCTTTCATACTTCACGTGTTGGCAGGAAGTTTGATAGACAGCAGTGCCCAAATGTAGAGTCATCAAGCCACCAGCTGGCCCTGATAGTAGCTTTTTTAGACATTAGTGTCAACCATGCCTTTTAGATGAAGAGATATCCTGGGGAGCACATAATAGGGCAACCAAACATGATCAGCTTGGGGACTGTGGATGAGCTGCAAAGGTCTTCACCCCTCTTTTACTGGTTCCCATTTAGCTTGGTGACAGAAAGTCACTGCCATGTAACGGCTATTCTGTGTCTCATTGGGAAGTTCATTTGCTTCTTTTCTCCCTATGTCATCACAGGCAGAAGCGCTAAAACAGACACATGTGGGTGTAGAACAGCCCACAGTCTCCATTCACAGTTGCCTTTTTGAAGGAATGCCATGGAGTGCTCTTGGGGATTTCTCTGTGCAGATGCAGTCCACCTCCATCATGAAGAAACTATTTTATGAAATCACTTCTTATTACTTATGGCACACAGTGCTATGGAACCACTAGGGAATTCCAAACACACAGGCTATTCCTTTGGTCTGAACTACCCTGAAACTGTAGGTTATTTCTGAAAAGCATATGCACTCATACACCTACTCCTTATTGTTCCAGGATCCCTCAGCTTCACTGGAAGAAGCTCATTTGGAAACACCCACCCAACCCTGAGAAGCAAACACAACATCAGGAATACCCTCCAAGGAGCAAGAAATCGTATTCTGTATAATGATGGCACAGAGTTACACCTTTCAAATATTTGCCCAGATGCTGACAGCCCAATAACCATGGGTTTGAATGAGGAGAACATCTTCATTTGGTTCTCAAAAGGAAGAAAGTTAATTAACCTCCCCAAATGTCTTTTCCCTGACAAAGCAATTCTGTAGTCAACAAAGTTAATTCAAGAATGGATTCCCACTGTCTCCTGAGACACCCTGACCATGGATTCTTTCTTTTCTTGCTATCTCCCCTCCATTTACAAAAATACTTGTACCCACATTCACAGCAGTAACCTTTTGTCTTACAGAGGAAAACAACAAAAAAATGCCCTGCTCAAGATTTTCATCTGTGGCCACTTATGCTAAAACCTGCAAGATGGCCAACCCACTGCAATCCTCTTAATAAATTAAATACAATGGCTCTGAATCCCACTGATGCCAGCTGTTAAACTGCGCATTGTGAGATACCTCCTGACTGACTGCAGGATCAAAAGAAATTGATGCCAGCAATATAGGGTCAACCAAGGTGGTACAACAAAAGGAACCCTGGAAATGTCACAGGGTAGGCTGACTTGAGGCTGAGGAGATAAAAGCCAAAGGAGGCAAAAGTATGTCAGGGGAATACCGCCCTCTACAGAATAAAATGGTTTGCTGAGAAAGCAATAGGAAAGGAAATGCCACTGAGCATGCTGTTCTTCCTCCTCTGACTCAGTACAAAAAGGGGCAGAAAGGCGAATAAATGCCCAAGCTTACATGTATAAAGACAGCCAG